TCCATATTAAAGACTACAGTTCTTGACTTGCAGCAAATGCTTCTGGTTCTCCTCAGTTTCAGCAAGCAAAATTGTGCCATCTGCATAATGTAGGTTGTTGATGAGTCTTCTTCCAATCCTGATGCCACACTCCTCCACATAAAGTCCAGCCTCCCAAATAATCTGTTCCGCATACAGATTGAAAAGGTATGGAGATAGGACACATGCATCCCCTTCCTAATTTTGAATCTTCCACGGTTTCCTTGCTCTGTTCTGGGGACTGATTCCTTGTCCAAGTGTGTGTATGTGTGTACATATATATACATATGAACCAAGGACGACCTGAAATGCTTGCTGCAGAGGGTCAGGGACTGCAGCCTTCAGTATGGATTGAGGTTCAATGTCAAGAAGACAAAGATTCTCACCACTGGACCAAATGGCAGCATCAGGATGGATGGTGAAGAGACTGAGATTGTTAACTTTAGTCTGCTTGGCTCCAAGGTCAACACTCTTGGCACCAGCAGCCAGGAAATCAAAAAAGCGTATTGCAATGGGAAAGTCTGCTGTTAGGGACCTCTCTGGAGCACTGAAGAGCAATGGTGTCACTCTGGAAACTAAGGTGCATCTGATATATGCCATGGTCTTTGCAATCACTTGTTATGCATCAGAGAGTTGGACAATGACTAGGAAGGATAGAAGGAGAATTGATGCCTATGAGCTGTGGTGCTGGAGAAGAGTATTGAATGTACCATGGACTGCCAAGAAAACAAACAGATAATCCTGAGAGGGTTAAACCAGGCTGCTCCTTGGAGGCAAGGATTCTGGGGCTTCATCTGACATACTTTGGACATGTTGTAAGGAGGGACTGGTCCTTGGAGAAGGACATCATGCTTGGAGAGGGACATACGGCGCAAGAGGGGAAGGCCCTCTATGAGATGGACTGATTCAGTGACTGGGGTAATCAGGATGTTTGTGTCAGAGGCAGTGCAATTGGCACAGGATAGAGCAAGATTTAGGGCTGTTGTACATAGGATTGCTATGAGTCACAAGTGACAAGACGTCACATAACAACAACATGTATGTAAAAGGTATTCCACTTTTTTGTGGTCTTTGAGCATATATCCAAGCAGAACATACATCGGTTTCACAGCTGTGTGCTGTCACCACCCTCCGTCTCTCCCACTGCTGTCAATCCACAGCCTTGAGCTTCCTACCAAACCTTTCAAGAAACAGCTGTCAGTTTGATCTCAGATATCTACCAAATGTTCTTCAAAGAGCAGATGTACCTTACTAGTTAAGATAAATTACCGTTTGGTCTTAAGACTTCAGGGAGTATATTTTTGTTTAAGATATAAAGATCAAGTACAACCACTCTGGAAGGCAGTTTAGCGCTTCCTCAAAAAGCTGAACAAAGAAATTTCATATGACCCAGCTATTCCACTGCTTGGAACATACCCTGAGAAAATAAGAATGGAGGTGCAAATGGAGACTTGCACACCAATATTTATAGCAGCATTATTCACCATTGCAAGGATATGGAAACAGCCCAGATGTTCAACAACAAACAAATGGATTCAGAAGCTGTGGTACATTCACACAACAGAATACTACGTAGCACGCAGGAGCAATGATTTTGTAAATTACTATTTAACTTTGGAGGGACTGGAGATCATTATGCAGAGTGAACCAACTCAGTCCCACAAAGACAAATACTGTATAAAATCATTATTGTAGAATAAGTATGAGGACCCAAAGGGAGGGAGGGTGGAAGCAGAGGGGTGAGGATGGGTGGGCAGGGAGTTGTTAATCAAAGGGTCGCACAATTTGATGGGTGAGGGGATGACTGAAATGGGAAGGATCTTTTGTGGGAAAGAACATATTTAAACTTTGTAATAAAAATTTTTTTAAAAAGATACAAAGATCATCTCAACAATAATTTTGAGGGTCAGCACCATATTTTTGTCTGTCTCCTTCTCTGGGCTGTTTCTCAGTTCAGTGGCTCTTCTCATGCCTCACTTACTTCAGTGTGGCCAGCTCGTGGATTGAAGTATTCTTACACCACTGGTCCCCAAACCCTGCAGCCTCTGGGACAGAGCTGGCCCTCAGGACTGATTTGCTGGATGAACAGGGGGGCCTCTCCAGGAAACCCCTCTCCTGAGATCTTGGTCCGAGTGTCTTTCTGGCACACCCACAAGCTCAGGGACTTCCCCTGCTGTGGTTCCTGCCAACCTGTGTGGTAACTGCAGGTCACCCTGACTCAGCTACTGAACTGAGATATCTGAGATGTGTTTTCCTGTTTTTCAAATCCTCATCCCCCAACTCAAAGAGAGCCACAGGATTTAAAAACACCAGAAAGCTTTTGTTGTTGATCTCCACACGTGGCAGCCCCAGGGAGAAGTTCTGTAGGCTTCTCTGGCTGTCTTGTCACAAAAGCAATTGGTGGGCATTTTTTATTTTTTTGCTTAAACACCAGTGGGTAGATTTGAAATAGTGACCTTTAGGTTAGTTGTTATATGCCATTGAGTCAGAATCAACTCATGGCTAACCCTCCAGTAGATTTTTAGAGGCTATAAAATCACACAGAAGAAGACTGTCTATATTTCTTCCAAGGAGCAGCTGTGGATTTGAACCATGTGCCTTTGGATTGACAGCATAAATCCTTACCACTAGGTCATCAGAGCTCCCAGGTTAGCATTGTTGTTAGGTGCTGTCGAGTGGACCACAACTCATAGTGATCCTCTGAACAAGTGACCTGAACCCTGCCCTATCCTGTGCCATCCTCACCATCTCTGATATTCTTGAGCCCACAGTTACAGGCACTGTCAATCCCCCCGGTTGAAGGTCTTCCTCTTCATTGCTAAGTTCCACTTTTCCAAGCCTGATGTCTTTCTCCAGGGACTGACCACTCCAAACATGCCCAAAGTATGTGAGATGAGGTTTCACCAACCTAGCCTACAAGGAGCACTGTGGTTTCACTTTCTCCAAGATACATTTGTTTGCTCTTCAGTCAGTCTATAAATATTCAGTGCTCTTCTCCAGCACCACACAACACAGAGGCATCAATTCTTTTGTCACCCTTACATAATGTGTAACTCTCACATGCATAGCAAGTAACCGAAAAGCCCATGGCCTGGATCAGGCGCAGCTTAGTCTTCAATCTAACATCATTCTTGCTCTGTAGTACTTTGGAGGGGTCCTTGATAGTAATTTTCTCATTACAAACATCTTTTGCTTTCTTGACTGTTGGTACCAAAGTTAATTATGGATCCAAGTAACATGAAATCATTAACAATGCCAAGCTTCTCTCCAACGATCATGATATCATCTACTGATCCAGTGGTGAAGATTTTTGTTTTCTTGATGTTCAGATGTTTCCACACTGAAAGTTTTATTCTTTGATCCTCTGCAGCAAGTGTTTCAAGTCCTCTTCATTTTCAGCAACTTAGGTTATAGTATTTGCATAAAGTAGTTGTTGAGGAGTATTCCTCCGATACTGATACCACATTCTTCTTCATGGAATCTAGTTGCTGGAATGATTTGCTCAGCTTACCAGCATAAATAATTCACACCACCCTGGGGCATTTAGGTACAAGTTAAGTCTCTGTTCTGGATTAACTTGCCATTCCCCCTAAAAAAAAAAAAAGGCATACTGCAGCCTCACATCCCACCTGTGAATGTGGCTTTGTTGAAAAGGGGTTCTTGAAGATGTTATCCTGTTCATTAAATTAGCATAAAGTCATCCTGGAGCAGGATGGATCCTAATCCAATCCAAGTGTGTACTTATAAAAGAGAAGCAGACGGATGAGAAGGAAAGAGGACCACCCGACAACCACATTCTCTGCAGCTGCGAGCCAGGAAGGAAATGCAAACAGGCTGCTCCCTTAGGGGTGAACATGGTGAAACTTCATCTCACATACTTTGGGTATGTTGTCAGGAGAGTCCAGGCCTTGAGAAGGAACATCATGGTGGGAAAGATAGAGGGTGAGAGAAAGAGAGGATGACCCTCAAATAGATGAACTGATACAGTAACTGTAACAATGGCCTCGAGCGGATCAGTGGGGATGGGGCAGGACAGGAAAGGTTCAGATGTGGCACCGAACACCACCACCACCACCCACTGAGGAAGATAAGGGGGAAGTCCTAGCGTCTTCAGAGAGAACACAGCCTTACTGACACCATGAATGCAGACTTCTAGCCTCTGTAACTTTGAGACATGAAATTTCTGTTCTACTTTGACCAAAGATTCCATGGAGGAATCCAAATCAAAAAAGGAAAACTGTAGAAGTGAATTTCAAATTCTCATGGAATCCAGACTTTATGGATTCATGGAGGCTGGACAAACTCCTGAAACAACTGCCCTCAAAACACCTCTAAACTTTTGATCAGAACTACCCCCTTGTAGTCATCTCATAAACTAAACAATGTTTTTGATGTTAAGTTCTGTTGCGTCAGAACCAACTCATAGCTGACCCCTCCAGAAAACTTTCAGAGGCAGTAAATTTCACAACTTGATAGCCCATCTTTCCTGTGGAACAGCTGGTGGATTTGAACTATGTGCCATTTTGGGTTGTCAGTGCAGCTCTTTATCACTAGACCACCAGAGCTGCCACACAATAGCTTAGCTTAACTAGAAAAGAATGTCTCCCTTGAGCACTGTATTCCTTTAAGACCTATCTAAATAAGATCAAAGTGGCATCAGTAACTGGGAAGACTCAACAGGTGCCGTACAGGGCAGGGAGAACCACTCAGAAAAAGGAAGACATGGTGGTTGCACAACTCGGAGCATGTAACCACAATTGCTGACCAGGTCACGTAGAAACTGTTAAATTAAAGTTACGTTCTGCTGTGTTATATTCTCAACCACAACAAAATAGAGCCTAACAGAAAATTTTTAAAGAAATATCTCTTTGCATAAGGAACAAAGTGCAACTAATAGAGTCTCATTAAGAAAGATAATAGAAACTCGACTCTCAAGGACGGACAGACAGTGGAGAGGTTCTCTCAGAGAAAGGAAGCTATACCTCTTGAGCCATAAGTCCAGGCTTCCTCATCATCGAAGTGTGTGTCCCCAGAAATGGGGTGCTCCCCAGGAAAGAAAGCATGGGCCAGGGTGCCTCCCAGTCCATCGAAGGGGTAACTGTCTTGGTGGTAGGCCCGGGCAAAGTCGATGAGAATGTCGGGTTCAGGGTCCTGAGGCCCCAGCTCCTGGAACTTGAGGCCTGACTCAACGCCCCAGGCATTCAGGGCGTATTGCATGAGGGTTCGGACAGTGTCCTGGTTCAGCTGGGAGCGCTGAGGGAAGGAATGTACCCTGGGGAGAGAGAGGAAGGCTTTGGGAAGGCCGGGCTCTGAGGACAGCTGTGGGGGAAAGGGTGGAGGTGGGGGTGGAGGGAGAAGGCTGGCAGGGTTGGTTGGAGGGGTCTAGGGAAAGGCCAGGGGCCCTGTAGGTAGATGCAGGTGGAGGAGGCTGGGGGAGGCCAGGGTCCTGCGGGCAGATGCAGGTGGAGGGGTCTGGGGGAAGGCTAGAGACCCTGCAAGCAGATGCAAGTGGAAAGACCTGGGGGGAGGTCAGGGCCCTGGGGGAAGGCAAGGGCCTGCAGCTGATGTAGGTGGAAGGGGCTGGGGGAACGCTGGGGTCCTGCAGGCAGGTGTGGATGGAGGCATCTGGAAGAAGACTGGGCTCTGCAGGCAAATGCAGGTGGAGGAGCTTGGGGAAAGATCAGGGCTCTGCGGGCAGATACAGGTGGAGGGGCCTGGAGGAAGGCTGGGGCACTGCAGGCAGGTCCAGCCAGGTAGATGGGGCTGGGGGAAGACCAGGGCTTTAAGGGCAGGTCCAGATGGAGGGCTGGTACCAGGACCTACCTCCAAGTCAGGGTCCGCTTCTTCCACACGCTACCACTCAAAGCATAGCGGCGGCGGCGGCGGACAAGTCCAGCTACCCCCATCACATCGGGCAAGGAACAGCGAGGCTTGTGCATGGTGGCCAATGTCCTTGCATCTGTAGGGAGGGTTGGGAAGTGGGGGGGTAAGCAATGAGATTTTAAAAAATAAATAAATAAATAAATAACCCAAACCATCACTATCTCACTCTTACTTAGTTTCACAATCAATACTCTTGACACTTGTTGTTGTTATGTGCCATCAAGTCACCTGCAACTCATAGCAACCCTATGTACAACAGCCCTAAATCCTGATCTATCCTGAGCCAATCTTATCTCTGACCACCTATCCCCATTACCCCAGTGACTGAATCAATCCATCTCATCGAGGGTCTTCCTCTCCTGCACTGTCCCTCCAAACTCCCAAGCAGGACTGATCCCACCTTGCAGCATGTCCAAAGTATGTCAGACGAAGCTTCAGAATCCTTGCCTCCAAGGAGTAGCCTGGCTTCACCTCTCCAGGACAAACTTGTTTGTTTTCCTAGCAGTCCATGGTATATTCAATACTCTTCTCCAACACCAGAGCTCAAAGGCATCAACTCTCCTTCTATCATCCCTAGTCATTGTCCAGCTCTCTGTTGCATAGCAAGTAATTGCAAAGACCATGGCCTTTATCAGGTGCACTTTAGTCTCCGGACTGACATCGTTGCTCTTCAGTACATTGGAGAGATCTCTGGCAGCAGTCTTTTAACTTCAAGAATGTTGACTTTAGAGCCAAGCAAACTGAAGCTATCCACAAACTCAATCTAGTCGCCATCAATCATGATGAAGTCAAAAGACGAATTGTACTGGGGAAGTCTGCTGTCAGGGACCTCTCCATAGTGCCAAAGAGCAATGTCATTCTAGAGACTAAATTGTCCTTGATCCGGGTCAAGGTTTTCACAGTTACTTGCTATGTATCAAAAACTGGGACAATGACCAAGGATGACAAAAGAATTGATACCTTTGCATTGTGGTGCTGGGGAACACTGAACATAGTATTGACCACCAAGAGAACAAACAGCTCTGTCCTGGAGAATGTGAAACCAAGCTGTTCCTTGGATCCAAGGATTTGAGACTCCACCTTATATACTTTAGGCACGCAGCCAACAAGTACCACCAGTCCTTGGAGAAGGACACCATGTTTGGAAGAGTGGAAGGACAACCCAGGAGAGGAAGATCTTGGATGAAATAGACCAATATAGTGACTAGGTTAATAGGAGCAGGTGTGTCAGAGACTGTGAGGTTGGCTCAGAACAAAGGAGGGTTCAGAGCTGTTGTGCATAGGGGTGCTATGAGTCACAGTGGACTTGATGGCATGTAACAACAGCCATGATGTCACTCACAGTGACCCTGTGGGCCAGAATAGGACTGTTTCGTAGACTGTCATCCTTACAGAAGCAGACCACTTAGAGTGACTTCTTGTGTGCCATAGAGTCCATCAAGTTGGAACAGATGTTGTGTTGTGTACCTTCAAGGCAGAACAAGCTCACAACAGAGCCTTCAGTAGGTTTTCAGAGGCAGTAACTCACATGGGAGGAGACTGTCATTTTCTTCTGAGGAGCAGTCAGTGCATTTGAACATGTACATTAATGCAGGTGGTGAGATTCCTTACCAAAAAGCTATTGTCCAAACAGAACAAGGAAACACTGTATGGTTTGAAATAAGGAAGAGTGTGGGTCAAAGATGTATCCTTTTTCCATACTTATTTAATCTGTATGCAGCGCAAATACTTTGTTTAGCTGGATTCTGTGAAGAAGAATGTGGCATTAGGATCAGAAAATTGATCAACAATCTGCATTTTGCAGATGATACAACCTTGCTTGCCAAAAGTCAGGAGGGCCTGTAGCAGCTGCTGCAAAAGATAAAAGATAAAGCATGGATTGTATCTCAACATCAAGAAAATAAATGTCCTTACCACTGGGTCAACAGGCAACATTATGATAGATGAAAAAAGGATTGAAAACTGTCAATTTCATCTTACTTGGATCCACAATCAACTCTTGGTATCAGCTGTCAGGAGTTAAAAAGATGTATTGCTTTGGGCAAGTCTGCTGTCAGGGATCTTTCCAAAATACTGAAGAGCAATGATGTCAGTTTGAAGAATAAGGTGTGCATGATTCAAGTCATGGTCTTTTCTATTACTTGCTATGCATCTGAGAGCTGGATAATGAATAAGGATGACAGAAGAATTGATGTCTTTGAGTTATGGTGTTGGAGAACAGTACTGAATATCCCATGGACTGCTAAAAATATGTTCTGGAAAAGGTGGAGCCAGAGTGCTCCTTGGAGGCAACAATGGCAAAGCTTCATCTCTTGTACTTTGGACACGCTGCTAGGAGAGGCTATTCCTTGGAAAGGGTGGAGGGTCAGTGAAAGAGAGGAAGACCCTCAACCATTAGGATTGACATGGTGACTGCAGCAAAGAGCTCAAATGTCTCAGAGATGATAAGGATGGCACAGGACAGGACAGCATTCCAATCTGTTGTTTATAGTGTCCCTGTGAATCATACTCAACTCGACAGCACCTAACAACCACACAAGCCACCAGAACTCCTTCCTTGTCCTATAGGGTCACGAGAAGTTTTTAAGAGAACAGGTCTGTGTGGTTGGGGGTTTCCCTCTGTCTAGAATGCTTTCATCTTTGTACTGTCCCAAGCACGAGGAACCACAGAGAGACCTGGGGGGTGGGGGGACGGGTCCTGGGGAGTTTTCCAAGTCTTCTGCCTTTGCCAGGGGAGTGCTACTCTTCTAGCATTCATTTTAGTGGAAAATATGGGGGTTTCTCCTCCTCTGACAGGTTTCCACCTTACACATGTAGATTTGCAGGTTTTACTGAATTTATCAAGCCAGGAACATCTGGGATGCTCCCCAGCTGGGGCCTGACAGTAGCTGTGCAGCCCCCTTGATTCAGGGAGCCTTGAGGCGCCCAAGCAAGGAGCAGAGGGCTGTGTAGCCCCTCCTTACACAGGCCTGGATTGAGGCGCCCAGGCTGGGAGTAGAGGGCTGTTAGCTTCTCTTATATAGACCTGAATTGAAGTGTCCAGACAGGAGTACAGAACTGTGCGGCCCCCTTGATTCACGGCGCTTTGAGGCACCCAGGCTTGGAGCAGAGGGCAGGGTATCCCCCCCTTACACAGGCCCGGGTTGAGGCGCCCAGGCTGGAAGCGGAGAGAAGGTGGGGAGCAGGATGACCTACCCATGCGGCCGGTCTCAGGCAGCCCCGCAAAGCGCTGCATGACCTTAATGGCATTCCGCAGTTTCTCGAGGCTCTGGAGCTGCGCCTGGGCCGGGTCGGGCTGCGGCAGGTAGCCATAGCGGGTCAACCAGTCCTAGGGGTTGGATAGGACAAGTGAGGCCCGATGGGGGTTCATCCCTGCCCCACTCTCTGCTTGAAAGCCTCGCCCCTCCAGCCCGGATTTCTCAGCCTTTGTTTCGTCCTGATCCACAGCTCCCCATCCCAGCTCCTCTTCCGATTTCGGAATCCATACTGGACTCAGGAATCCAAGTCCCTTGACTACTTCTCCAGCGATTCTTGGGACACTGGAGTCGGTTCCCCAAACCTAGCTGTCCTAGAACCCAGTTTTCCTGCGAAAGCTAACATTTCTGACCACGGAGAACTCCCCACCCCAACGTCGAGCCCTAGCCTTATTCAGGCTCTCCTCCGACCGCCAGCAGGCTGCCCCACTCACCACGCCCAAGCTCACGTCCTGCGCTGAGGGCTCCCGAGCGCGCGCCCGGCGCGGCAGCAGCGCGAGCAGCAGCACCAAGAGCCGGGCCACAGGTCCCGATGCGCATGGACGCATGGCCAGACGAGAGAGGGGCCCAAGGTGCCGCCCTGAGGGAGGACAGGGGTAGGGGACCTGGGCCAAGGCAGCGAGACGCGGAGAGGGTAGCTCCTGGGATTCTCGACCTATGTATGAGAAGGGCGCACGCCGCTCTGGGTGGTGTCCCGGTGCGGGCCGGGGTCGCACAAGTGTAGAGGACGTAGGAGAGAGCTGCAGGAGTCCGGATTCGGGGTTCAAACCGGACCTGCGCGCGGGCGGCCCCCCTTCTCCAAGTGGGCGGGGCAAGGAGGACGCACCCTGAAAACTCACAGCCTTGGGGCAGGAGAAGTAGCCTGATCTTCAAGGCCCACTGGACTCGGGGCCCCGCTGGCGGCCCTTCCAAGTGCGAAGCCAGGCATCTCCCGCGCCCGCCCCCGGTTTCTCTTTCGGATCCCGGCTCCGGGTACCCTCGCGGCGGGCACGCTTCTGCTTTTCCAGAATCAGCCCAGTGGCCGTGGCTGCGGTAGTCGCCCCCACCCCCACCTCCCCAGGACCCTGCGGCCACATAAGTCTGGGAAGCTGGCGGAAACTGGAGCCTCAGCGCAGCTTCCCTCCCCGCGGGGGTCCCCGGCCGCCCCGCGCCCGCCTCGCCGGCGCCCCTTGCGGCTCCTCGGACTGCGCGCCGGGCTCCACCTGGCGCACGTGGTTCTCAACATCTTCAGCACCTTGACTTGGGGGGCACTGAGGTCTGTGCGGCTTCCCGGCAGCTCCTGGACATTTCAAGTGCAATAACTTCCACACAGAAGCCGAGCGGCCTCCCGGGCCAAGCGCTGGAGGGCGAGGGAAGAGGAAGCGGAGGGGCGCCGTAGGGCGCCAGCTGCAGGAGAAGGAGGCGGAGGAAGGAGAGGTTCCGAGGGGAAGCCCTTCCTGGCCACGTGCAGGGAGGGTCGTGGGAGAAAGCTACGTCTCTGACCTGACAAGAGGGGGAGCAGGAGAGGCTGGGCTATTATCGGTGTTTTAGACAAAATAGCGAGTGAGCAGGTTTAGGGAGCTGGAGAGGCGGTGCCCTTATCCACTCTGCCCCCTTGGCATCAGGCCTACAAAAATGGATGTGCGGTGAAGCTGATTATGCCAAGGTGTATCCACTGTCAACATTCGTGGGAATAGCAGCCATGTACTGAGTTGGGCAAATCTGCTGTTAAGGATCTCTTTGAAGTGCTGAAGAGCAGGGACAGCCGTTTAAAACTGCCCCAGCCAGGGTAATGTTCAGTTGCTTCATATGTTTGTGAAAATTGGACGGCTAATAAAACAACACCAAGGCAGAATTGATGCCTTTGAATTGTGGTATTAGCGGTGAATGTCAAGTATACCATGGACTGACAAAAGAACAAGCTTGTCTCAGGAGAAGTGAAACAAGAGTGCTCTTTAGAAGGACAGTTGGTTAGCCTTGTCCCACACACTTGGGGCATGTGATCAGGAGGGGCATGTTCTTGAAGAAAGGGACTTTACTATCAGCTTGGTGAAGTCCAGGGTCATCCCCAAAGAGAAAGACCCTGGGCAAGGTGGGCTGACACAGTGACTGAGAGGCTGGGCTGGCTAGAAAGGTACCAATCAGCTGTATGTGGGGTCACGATGAAGATGACTCAATGGCACGAAAAATAACACCATGCCAGGTGTGGGCAGATGGGGTTCATGCTCTGCAGATGGGAGTTTGCTTTGTGGTGCCCCAGATGGGATTCCCGTCGGTGAGGTCAGTTATTCAGGGATGCAGCTTTCTGGGGAGCCTGGATACGGCTGCGAGTGGGGCCAAGGAGAAGCTCTCATTGGGACTGGTGGATTAGAAGAGCTCACCCCACACTGGGCAGAGCATGATCAAACGCCTCCCCAGCCCCCACAAGTGAATTCTGGAGGCACAGCAGTTGAACTGAAAGGTCAATCATTGGAACCCACCAGTAGCTCCTATAAGGTTTGTCGCTGTGGTGGTTTCATGTTGTGGAGTCAGTCGTGACACATAGCTGACCCCAGCAGCTGTAATATGATAAATCACAGGCGAGGAGAATGCCCACCTTTGTGCCTCAGAGCAGCTGGTGGATTTGAGCCACATGCCTTTGGGAATGCAGCACAGCTTCTCAACACTAGGCCTCTCTTACACTACCCTAGGATCAGCAATCCCTCTGAAAAACCAAACTGGGGGAGCTCTGATGGCCTAGTGGCAAGAAGCTGCACTGCAATCCCAGAGGTGCATGGTTCGAATCCACCAAATGCTCTGCTGGAGAAGGAGGGACAATCTCCTCCTGCACTAGTCAGATCCCATTTGACAATACACACACACACAGATGTAACTGGGTATTTCTGTCATCACAGGAGACTAGAGCGAGGGCTGCATGGTGGAGGGGACCTGGGGGAGGGTTTGTAAAACAATGAAAGAATCTTT